GGTGGGGGGGGGGGGGGTTTACTGAAAAAGTACTGAAGATGATCCAGCTGTGCATTCAGTTTCATGCTTTACCACTCTATTAATGATCATCATTTAACAGCAGTGTGCACATATATCTCTCATACAGAAGCACATATTGCATCACAAATAGTAAATAAGACTGATATAGTTTTTATTCCTGACCGATGCAGAGTTCACAATTCAATTCAATAGCAAAACATTCCTATATCATTCCTCGATACCTTGAAGATAATACATACATATATAAAATGTAAAACATTTAGATCATGAATTACTGATCAATAAATGAATTAATATTACCAGTTAGCAGGTTAATATAGCCACCAGTTATCTTTAAGGTGATAAGACCATTAGTGTCTTTAACTAGAGAGGAGCGCTTGATCTATTGGATAAAGAAAAAAACACCAAGATAAAGTCTCCACTGACTTACCCCATTTTCTTAATGCTGTTTGTTCAAGCTGTGTTCTGAGTGTACTCAACCTCTCGGCGTATAAATGAGCAAATTGTCTGGTGAAGTTCTTTTCTTTCAGCAAGAACCTTTCGGAATGGTTTTCATACGCTGTTGACACTCGTGGGAACACAGCAGACTCGGCAGAAGGGTCTGCGAGTAACATTCCCGCTTTTTGTTCCGCCTTGGACACGTTGATCAGCATATTGTATAACTAGTTAAGTCTTTGCCTGTCCGAAACGTTATGAAAATATCAATTGTTTGTACTAGCACTGTTCATACCCTCTGCCATGTTTTTCCTTGGCAAAAATGGCGGGGAAATGAATCTGATTAGTCCCAAGTACAACTTCACATCACAAAAATCGATCGCTAAATTTTTGTCAAAAATTGTGCACTAAATGACACAAAAACATTTTTTAAACTTTTTATCTATCAATTCCATTAATATTTCTGGAAAAATCGCAGTTTTATCACAAAATCTCAGCCTAGTTTTTGAATCAAGCACCCCTCTGAAGGAACTAGTCAAGAAAAGTGCACTTATCAGGTCACTCCGGGTCAACTTGCCAGGTGGTCGCAGGAGCAACTAGTGCGGGAAGTATGATTTTCTGTTATTGGTAAATATTTCTTCCTTTTTTGTATCGTAATCTCGTGTTGCAATTATAAAGAACTTCATATAATAGTTAATTTGAAAAAATGTTAAGAACTTCTAGTAAAATGCCACGTGGGCGAAGGCTGATCGTTGAAGAGGCTCCCAATCAACCCAGATGTGGGCTTGGGTCTTGCGTCATCTGTTTAAGTGTGACCTACATCTATTTTTTCTTCACTAAACATACATTGCATCAGATAACTTTTGTGAAAAGGCGGATATTTTTTGCATATTTAGATAGCAGTCAGTCGCTTGTGGAGACCAGAGCATTTACCCCGAGAGTGCGGGGCAACACATGAAATAGCATTGAAGGTAAGTACCCAGTACAAGTTTCTTTTTCATTTGCATCTCGTGTTATATAATAATTATTACATATATGTATTCATATGAGCGTGCACGTGTTCACACGCCTTTTTATCATTTTGTTTTATCTGAAAGATGTTCCACTTACCATATAGTAACAGGGTTGATGATTTGATAAAAAAATTGTCTTAACATGGCTTAAATTGCTTTCAGCATTGGTCATTATCAATAAACAGGTAAATTGTGAAAAAAATAGATATTTACTAAAGCATCTGATTAGAACTTTATTCGTCCATATTGCTCATGTGGTCCCAATGATCCGTTAATATCAGTGGCAAACCTAAATTGGCCCTGTGTTAATTCTCTTACATAGACCTTGGTCTTTGTGATGTGTGCCAGACAATTGTCTGAAGGTTCAATGGTTGGAATGACCATAATAAATTCTTTGGACCAACAAACCCTTTTCTTTAAAAACTGATCAAATATTATGATTTTTTTAACCATATGGACCAATGAACCTTCAGGCTACTGAGATACATCCTTTGTGATCCACTTAACTTGAATTTTGACATCACTATTGATCCTTTTATAGTGCCCTCAGCCTCAGTAATCCTCATACGTTGCCCATAGCAACGGTGATCCTAGAACCATACTGCTCAGCCCTGGTTGTGGTTGTCTTTGTATTTAGCCCAAATCTTTTGGTGGTCTTCTTATCTTGCCCTCAACAACCTCAATCCCCCCGCCAACTCTGATCATTTGCCATTTTTTGCTTTAATTTTTGTGAAGAAAATGTCCTATTTGCTGCTGAAAGTAAATTAAGATATTTCATAATTTGACCACATTAAACAGTAAATTAAATACCTTTATTTTATTTTATTGTTGTAGACAAGAGCTATAATCATGCATTTCCTCCGTGCTGTATGTCTGATGAAGAAGCATGCCTACCTAAATGGAGTGGCTGGGGCCAGGTATATGTCTTCTGTCCATGGAGCCTCCAAGAGCACTCTCGACAAGGTGAATAATCAAATGAGTACATAAGAATAATTAATAAAATATAAATTGATTTGTTGAATTTGATATTTGATAAATTGATGTGAAATCAAGTGATCTTTAGTCCATTTCTACATAGAATTTGAAGAATACAAAGAGCAACTTGTTTTAGAACTGGTCTTGAAATATTATATATGCTTTAAAAAATCAGAAGAAAAAAGCTCAAATAAATATTGAATTAAGAATTACCTGATATTAATTGACATTTTATAATGAAAGTCAGGTATTAATTCATTAGTTTTTACTTTTTGAACATTTTGATTGTATTTATTTTCTTAAACATTTATGATATGATCAAAATATGTTGACTAGGAGAAAAACCAAATGTACACCCATACTTGCCTATATATATATAAAGCTAGAAATGAAGGGAATGTAATTTTTTCTAGTAAGTATTTGGCAAGCGTGCCTGATGCAACTATTAGGTATGTGAATTAATAGTACCATCAGGTATGCAATATCAGTGTGAAATATTTATGAAATACTTCAACCAAGAGAGAGAATGAAAAACAAGTCCCATGTTTTATACACTCATCACATAAAATGTTCTGTACCAAAAAAGTGATAAAATTACAGGCACGCATGGTTACGAATTGAGATTTTATATTATAACATTCTTATGACTTTCCTCTTGTTAACTTTCAGTGTGTATAATTTAAGTATGCATATCCTTCACCACATTGAAGTTTATGGCAAGAAAATGTCAAATGTTAATTTCAGAAAATTGGCCTTTAGTTTAGCCTTGCCTTTGTTATTACTAGTGATCTGCATAAATATAGCATTTACAATATAGTCAAAGCATTCTGTGTACTTTAATTGCCTGGGACCTAATTGTCCTGTTTTAAAAATATTCTGTGTACTCTTTAGGATAACAAAAAGTGGATATATGTCTTCGTGTTATGGTAGAACAATCTTTTTTAAAAAAAATGTGCAGTACATGTGGTTCATTTTTTTTTCACAGCACAATTAGAAAAACCTTATATAGATCCATTTTAAAAACGGTTTGGATGGCCACTTAGAAGTGTTTTAAACTTTCAGCTACTTATTTTGCACATGTGTGAATTCAAGGAATTCCATTTTTATGGTAACACAAATACATCATTTACATATTACCTCTGAAAGATAACTCGACATCAGATTGCTGTGTGTGCATGTGCATGCACATATTCACACACATTTTATGATATAACAAAAGAATTTAAAACCTGACCAGAGGAGAGACAGATATATAGTGTTAAAGTACTTCAACAAAAAAAAAAAAAAAGATGTATCAAAATGGCAAATATATTAGTACAGGGCAGGTCAAAGGTACAATGGCATTGAACATGTTAATGGATAGTTAACATGGAATAACTACCTCTGCTGTTTAATCAGTCTGGCAGTTTAACTACCTGTCTCAGGTGAGCAAGGAAGGTTAATGTGCCCAGTCTGGTGATAATATTGATGGTCAGCAGCAGGGCTTTCCCTTAGGTTGGAGTGCAGGGAGTCGAAATGGCCAATGTTGAATCTTGGTTTTCAAGGGAGTCCTAGATTAAATAAAAATGCTGCATGGGTGTCACTGTGTGTGTGTGTTTGTGAGGTTGGGGTAATATCACTATTTTCATTTTGTTGATCAGTGTTAGTGTTTTATTAGAAACTTAACAGTTCAAAAGATTCAATGTATAGAAAAGAAAGGGTGGCACTTAAAAACTCCTGCAATTTGTATGTTTAGTACGTAATTAATTGATTTATTTGACTTGGCATGTATGGTTTAAGTGTTTCCTCTGCTGCATATACTTAAATATCAATTTTTTTAAACCTTGTAGCTGGGTTCTAGTCTTGACCATATATATTTTGATACTACTCTCTTAAGGCATTAAAAAAAGTTCAACTGTGTCAATATATATATATCTTCAGACATATGCTTCATTCTCCTGTCAATATCAGACAGGGTGTTATCTCAAGCCTATCACAAATACTTCATTTGATTTATGTACACAGTAAATAATGGCAATGATGGTAATCTTTCACTTTCTTGCCTGACCAGAGTGAACTTGTCAGTAATTTGAAAAAAATAATTAATTTGTTATTGAGAAAAATAATAAGGAAATGACAAAGGGTCATTGTGTGTAATTGCTTATCATAATGTCAATGGGTCAATTTATTTTCAACAATTCAAAACAGATAATTGGATGTTTGTTTAAGAGAACAGTGTATAGCTTTTGGGTTTAGAATTATAATGTCTGTTCACATGTCATGTTGGAGCCATAATTTTGTAAAATAATGCTTCTGGATGAGTGGGTAGGTACCCCCTCCCTCTCAAAATAAATAAATAAGAAAAAAAGGGAAAACATTTTGAAAGTCATTTCAAAAAGTTTGTTTGAAAATTATTTATTCATTGATTAATTATTGATTCAAATTAATCAATATAATATATTTTTTTTGGGGGGGGGGTTAGGATGTGAATTAACAAATGTGTAGAAGAATGACAGAGCGGCAGTGTTGGACTCAAATTTTGTGAGATAGTGAACACTAAATCTGTTGATAACTTCTAGTCCTCAGTAGCTTTAATCTATTCAACTTGCCATAATGTATTCCCCAATCCCAGAATGCAGAACACACCTCAGCATTATGCAGGGAAAATAAAGTATTTCTGACCCAAAATAGGGATTTTAGTCTAATTTAAATTTGTGTGTCATAAAGAGGACAGTCAACATTATTGTGACATTCTGCATTAGACAGGGTTTTTGCTGACTGTTCACCATGAGAAATTTCTTCATACTGTGAAAAAAAATTACGCAGCATCTTGATGGTGTCCAGAAATGTCACTTTGCAAGTTGGATAAAACTGAAATGTAAAATTTACCTAATAAAGTCATCTACTTCTTTCCTTTTCATCCCTCCAGCCAAGAAGAGCACACCTTGTTCTGGAAGATGGTAGTGAGTTTCGTGGATACTCGTTTGGACATGAGGCCTCCATTGCTGGAGAGGTAGTCTTTAACACAGGACTGGTGGGGTAAGAAATACATAGCATTTTAGTTGCAGAAGGCCACTTTGATTTAGAAATAAACTTTCAGCTTCATGTTCAGCTTTCCACACATGCCAATTGCAACTTGTTGTATCTGAACTTCAGTGGCATTTAATTAAAGTTTATGCCCCAAGCACAATGTTTTATGGGTCTGTTCACTACATCACTCCCTTTACAGAATCATAAAATCAAGATGACTGATTGTAACTTATGATAATAGAATTATATGGTTTGTTGTCAGTGGTCATTTTTATTTTAAAGATAAATACCTACATGTATTAACTCCTTGTAAGCATACTTAGATTAGCCTTTTTCGGCTGAATAATTACTAGTACATGGTCAATCCACAATATCAATATAAAGTCATTGAGACATACATAAGATTGAGATTACCAAAAATCCTTTAAGGTACCCTGAGGCCCTGACTGACCCAAGCTACCACGGCCAGATACTGACCTTGACCTATCCCATAGTTGGTAACTATGGCGTGCCAGACACACAGGCCAGAGATGAATATGGACTCATGCTGAATGTGGAGTCTGACAGAATACACGTGAGTGTACAATTTAGTCCTGTGACTGGTTTTACATATTTTAAAAGGACTTGAAACTGAAAGTTGGTCTTAACTTTAAGATCAAAATTTTAGTCTACTTTGACCTTAGATAAACCATCATAAGTCCATTTATCTGAAATATTGTGATTGTTTTATTAAAAGATAAAAATAATAATATTTCATACCAATAGAAAAATTCATTATAGTGACTTCTTTGGACTGCCCTTGATTCAGAAGTTTAAAAAAATTTGGTTGTAAAGCGAGATGTGATGGAATTTATTTATTGTCACATTAAAAGGACTAAAATTTTTTAGATATTATTTTTTAATAAGACTTTAATAAATCCATTATTATTATTATTTCTATTTCATATTTACTTGTTTTAATTCTATTAAAATTTCTCCAGGCCTCTGGATTGCTGGTCCAGGACTATTCTCATGGATACAGTCACTGGAATTCAGTCAAGTCTCTCTCACAGTGGCTGAAAGAGGAGAAGGTACCTGGTCTCTATGGTATAGATACCAGGATGATCACCAAGATGATCAGAGATAAGGTATTGTGGGATTTTTTTATCTGGCAATGTTAACCACTAAAAGTTTTCAAAAAAGCTTTTGATTTGATTTGATTTTTTACTGAAATATAAGTGTTAAATGGTGATACTGTATTTTAAAAAATGTTTGGCTAAATCAAAGTCTGATTATTACTAATATCATAAATATCATTATTATTTTATTATTTCTAATATTTTTATTAATTTTTTTTCTATTTTTTTCCATAGGGCACAGTGTTGGGAAAAATTGAATTTGATGAGCAGCCAATAGAATTTATGGACCCCAACACAATGAACCTGATTGATAAAGTGGCCACTAAGGTAGGCAATCTTAGGGGATTTATATAAGAATTTTAGACTGTCTGAGAGTTAACTTTAAGCTTTAAAATTTTGACCTTATTCAGGATAAATTTGTAGTAGTTCCTTAAGGTATACAAACATAGTCAACCTTTGTGTTTCTTCTTGATGTCGCAACTATTGTTTGGAACCCTTTGGAAAAAGATTTAATGCAGAAAGATAGCCAGAAGATCAAATGCAGGGAGTAATACACAATATCAAAATAATGAGAAATTTTATATACTTATTTCAGTATATAATATAACTTTTTGAATAAGCACATGTTTGAAACTGCTGTGCACTATTGTATTGCAGGATATCATAGTGTACGGGAAGGGAAATCCCCTCAAAGTGGTGGCAGTGGACTGTGGTATAAAACACAACATGATCAGAATGCTGGTGAAGGTAAGGCACCACTCTGGCTAAAATGTCATAAGTGGCCATCACTGAGACAGATTTACATAGACTATGTGTGAGACACATTTTAAGCTTTGTAAGATGCCCAAAATATGAATGTTTCCTTAGTTATGTTTTGAGAAGAAATAACACCATGTAGCTGGAAAATTGCTAATATGAAATTAATATGAATGGCAAAGAAAAAAAGGAAGATGGAGAGAAAGACTCAGATAATAGAGAATGGACACACCTATTTATAATGTTTATTTATAACTTATGCCCTCAATTTGTTTTTTTCAGAAGGGAGCAGAGGTGACTCTTGTCCCATGGAATTATGACTTCACCCAAGATAAATTTGATGGACTGTTTATTTCTAATGGTCCAGGTGACCCTGCTGTGGCCGGGGAATTGGTGGCCAATGTAAAGAAGGTAAAACACATGAAGATTTCTTCTACATAGAGAACTGTGTGTCTGAAAAAATCATTGCAGGCCTGTTAGGTTTGAACGAACCGCCCTTTTTGCAGTTGCAAATTTCCCCTCTGGGTAAAATTTGATAAATGTAAATGAAGTTTTCTTGGTAAAAGGCCCACTTTTGGTAAACTTTGTTCACTTTTGGTAAAGTTTTTTTCTTCCACAGAAGGAGATTACAGTAATTGAATTATCCCTTCTGTGATATTAATGCCTTCTATTTGAAATCTAAACCATCCATTTGCAATTTTAATTTTTTTAACTTTTTAAGCCTAGTTTGATTTGACCACTTATTTTTTAAAGGTTTTGGACAACAGACCAGAGCCAATATTTGGTATATGTATGGGGAACCAGATCACCTGTCTGGCAGCTGGGGCACAGTCTTATAAGTTACCTTTGGGAAACAGGTGGGTGCAGGTGAAAAATAATTAATGAAAATAAAAGGAATCGATTTCTTTTTTTTGAATTATATTTTATTTCATTATTTCTTATTTATTTATTTATTTTTTTGAAATTAACAGTATTTTTGTTTATTGTTATATTGAATTTTTGTTATTATTAGGAATGCTTTATGGATTTGTGACTCATATTTTTGGAAAAAAAAAACATTATAAAGAGTTTGAAGCATCAAATGTTTGTTTGATATCTTTCTGACTACATATCTTGAATAATTGAAGCTGCAATGAAATAAACGTTCCAAGTCTATTTTCATAGTTTAAATAAAAATAAAATAAAATAATATTTATTTTAAGTCTAAACTCCATATGAATATGTTCGTTAGACTTTACAAATATGTACATACATATAACAAGTATACAACTGGTCAAAACACGCTGTGTACAATCTCGCCTCCCTGGGGAGGATACAGCCCCGCTGCCGTATGAGGCGCTGAGTGCTATCAATCTTACAATATCGTTCTCTGCCTGACCAGGACCCTGCTTCAACCCCAAAGTGCTGAGTGCCAAGCGGGGAGACAACAGGTACCGTTTATAAAGGACTGGTATGTCCCCGGACGGGTTTTGAACCCACGTCCTCCCGCTCCGGAGGCGGACACTCTAACCACAAGGCCATCCGGTCGGTTTACAGTAAAAATATCATTTAATTAATTAATTAATTAATTGATGTATTTTTTAAAATTCATCCAGAGGTCACAACCAGCCAGTGATCAACCTCCTGAGCGGACAGGCTTTCATCACCTCCCAGAACCATGGCTTTGCTATAGACAACAAGACTCTTCCCCCAGGCTGGCTGCCACTCTTCATCAATGCCAATGATGGAACAAATGAGGTTAGTCTGGATTAGCCAGAAAAAATCTAAACGATTTTAAGGTGAATATTTTGAAATTCTTGTTCACCCAGACAAAAATCATGTTTGAAAGATTGCAGGTTTTTGAAGGCCCTGGATTTTTAAACCTTTTTTTTTCTAACTATCAAGAACTGAGTATTAAACTTGGGTAGAAATTTGGCAGTAGTGGTAACATTATTAAACTATGCAGAAATGACATGTTTGAATTTTTTTAAATTGGCCTATTTGTACAGCACAGTTCTTTATTTCAGGGTATCTATCATGAAAACCACCCTATATTTACTGCACAGTTCCTTATTTCAGGGTATCTATCATGAAAACCACCCTATATTTACTGCACAGTTCCTTATTTCAGGGTATCTATCATGAAAATCGCCCTATATTTACTGCACAGTTTCACCCAGAAGCCAGAGGAGGTCCTACTGACTCTGAGGTAAACAATTAGAGGGTAGTGCCATTAATTTAAAAATGAAAATATTACTCTTGACATCAGTATCTTATATACATACTGCATAAAAATGGTAAATGAAAGTTATTTGTCACATTTGATGTGGTAAACTTTCCAGACATGTAATTGTTAGAATAAGTAATGTGAGCAAATTATGTAAAATAAGATGTGTATCTTTCCTGCTCCATTGATTCTGGTAAACGGTTGAACTGGATCTTAACACAACTGTGGCAGAAGTAAAATCCACAAACTCTAGCATAAATTTTTAAAGTTTCTTTCTCTTTTTTTATTCAAGTTTCTGTTCGACATGTTTCTCGACATGATAAAATCTGGGGAGCAAAAAGTGTCGAAGATTGTGAAACCAATGCCACCTAAGCCAGACTTGAAGCCAGTAAGTATATATAATGACAGTGTTTTTTTTTGTGTACAGTGATTTAACATGCATTTATGTAATATTTCATGAGGTATTTTCATTATATGCTCATGTGGCCATTTTTAAAAGCTTATTTAATAATTCTCTTTTAAACACTATGTGATTTTATATATTTAATTAATTTTTTATTTTACTTTATTTTATTTGTTATTATTCATTTTGAAAAGGTTCTTATATGAATAAATAATAAATAAATATGAGATATCATGTCTATTGTATTGTATACAATACATAATATGTTGTGTATCTTTTGGCCAATAAATGAAACTGAATTTTTATGTACAGACACTAAGTGTATGCATTCTCATTACTTTGATCTCATTAAATAATTTTTTATCAATCAGGTGTCTAAAGTTCTTGTTCTGGGCAGTGGAGGGCTGTCCATTGGTCAGGCTGGAGAATTTGATTACAGTGGCTCTCAGGCCATCAAAGCATTAAAGGTGAGGCAGATATTTCATATTTTAGTTTATTGGTGTTTTTGTGTATATGTAGAAGTCTTTGCAATTTCTGCTTTGCAGTTTAATAATCTGGAAAGACAATTTAATGACTGTTACTGCAAGACTTCCTTAAATTTTTGTTTGCCTAAGACAACTTTCTAGTCTGCCAATTTTTGGCTTGAACAAAGTTCTACAATTCAAAACTTTTATAACGTCTTTTAATGCATTATGCAATTTCTCAACAATAGAACATCCGCAAGGTAAAAGTCAGCATTTTGATACTTGATTGTTTAATTTTTTTCCACAGGAAGAGAACATTGATGTAGTTTTAATGAACCCTAATATAGCCTCGGTCCAAACCAATGCTGAAGGGGAAAAGCAGGCGAATACTGTCTACTACTTACCCATCACGGCAGAGTTTGTCACTGAGGTCATCAAGAAAGAGAAACCCGATGGAATTCTGCTTTCAATGGGAGGACAGACAGCACTCAATTGTGGTAAGGGACATTTTCATTTTGTTCCTACTGTAATTTGCACTGTCTTTTCAAGATTAAAAAAAAATTATTTTATTATTATTATTTTGTTTTTTGTATGAACAATGTGTAGAAGTGACAGATTTGTTTAAGTTGCACATGTAGTAACTTAGGGTCTATTCCCACAACTTTAGATCGATCTATCACTGCGGGGAGTCTCACTAGATTACTGTCAGATAATCCCCCTTAAGTGTCCGTCCCCGCCTACTACAAGCTATAAGGGGTAATTAACTTTCGTGTCCGCCCGGCTGACAGCTATTTAGTGTGAACCCCCAGGGAGTTAGGTCGATCTAAAGTAGGTCGATCTAATCTATGGAAATGGGGTGTTAGTAACCATTATACAGGGATGTTATTTTCAGGCATATCCCTTATTTCAGTTTTTTTAACTGCTTTTTAAACTTTTTCTGGAATAATTGGACAACATCGCCAATTTTCAGGTCCCACTTATCACAAATTACATCCTTAAGTATAGAAGTCAATTTATTATTTTTTTTTGTCCTTTATGACTTTCTTTAATCTCTCTCTCTTTCTCTCTCTCTCTCTCTCACACACACACACAACACACACACACACACACACACACACACACACACACACACACACACATGTAAAAAGACTGCCATAATGTGACATATCTGTACATCCAGGTGTGCAGCTACATGATGCAGGAGTGTTCCAGAAGCATGGAGTCCAGGTGCTGGGGACACAGATCAGCAGTATTAAGGCCACTGAGGACAGACAGGTGTTTGCTGACATGTTGAAGGACATTAACGAGAGACTGGCTCCTAGTATTGCTGTGGAAACAGTAAGTTAAAGCTTACAGGCTGGCCTCACAAAAGAACTCGAGACAGAAAGTTTATCTTAACTTAAACACTAATAAATCTTTTAGTTTTTACATTTATTTAAAGGTTTAAGGATATAGGCGTTACATGAAAATTAATAATACAATATTTTCTAGTTGTCTGAGGCCTGAAGAGATTAGGTACCCATTGATGGTGAAGGCACCTGCTATGTATATTGTGTAATATATGTTTTATTTAGTATGATGTATATAATGTTTTCTAGGTGCCTGATGCCTTGGCAGCAGCTGAGGAGATCGGGTACCCTGTTATGGTGAGAGCTGCCTATGCCCTGGGAGGTCTGGGGTCAGGATGGGCACCAGATAAGGAGAAACTGAAGGACATAGCAACCAGGGTAAGTGACAGAGGGTTTCAAGTTTATTTGACACATTTCTAAAGAAAGAATCCCCCTCCCACCCCCTAAGAAGTTTGCATATTATCAAGATATGTTGTTTTGGAATTTTGAGTTCATTAAAGAATTACATCAATTCTGTGAAGTGTGAACGCTAAATTATTGTGATAAATTCTTAAATTGACAGCAAAAAATCACAGTATTTTTGTCAGGGTTTTGGTTTCTCAATAGAGTTTGACTTATGACCTGAATTTTTTTAACTAGAATAGAAATGTTTGAGTATGGGACATGCTTCACAAATAAGACTTAAATACATATATTTATATATTTTTTCCTTCTTAAGCTGTAGCGCCAGAACTTTTTGTGTGAAATTTGAAAAGTTTTGCAGATGGGATCTCATTTTCTATTTTAGGCACTTGCACTGTCTAATCAGATTCTTGTGGAAAAGTCACTGCTTGGTTGGAAGGAGGTGGAATATGAAGTTGTCAGGGATTCAGCAGACAACTGTATTACTGTCTGCAATATGGAGAACTTTGATCCATTGGGGGTTCATACAGGTATGAATATATATATATATATATATATATATATATATATATATATATATATGCTAAATTATCATACACCCTCTATAACTGTAACAACAATTTATCAAAAAATCTACAGCTCAGCTGAAGATAAAAACCGACATAAAGTGAAAAACTTAAAGGTTTTGATTGTTGTTACACCTTTTCTATGTATCACCAAGGCATACCCTATCCAAAACATTGAAAAAAATTTTGATCTTTTAAGTTTAAACTTAAATCAATGACTGAAACTAAATACTGTTCATTCCTGTTCACCAGGTCATTTTTGTCAGGTTACTTAGCCATTTTTAAATGTTTAAAAATGTTTTGTTTATATTATTTGTGAAGATTAGTTCATGGTCTCTCTTTTAACTTTTCAAATATGTAATGTATTACAGGCGACTCCATAGTGGTTGCTCCCAGTCAGACTCTGTCAAATTACGAGTACCACATGCTGAGAGAGACCGCCATTAAGGTCTGGAAAAGAATTTGGAAACATTTTATTCCACCAATATCTCTGTTTATAACCAATTTACATTTTTTTTTTTACATTTTAAAGTACTTTTAAGTGCCTTTGAATTCATTTTTTCACTTATTCAATTTAGAACTGAAACAGTCCTGAAGTGCAATTATTATGCTGTTTTTTTTAAGGGAATACTATAGTTATTAATATTATTATTTATCAGAATGAAAAGTGGACTTTTGTCTCTGTGCAAACATGACCCCAGAAAATGACCAGGACAGCATCTTGAAAATAATGAATTTCTTGTTACTTTTTATAATAATTAAGCAATCTGTTTCCACATTTTAAACCAGTGATTGCTACCTCTGTTTCCAGGTGGTGAAACATTTTGGCATTGTTGGGGAGTGTAACATCCAGTATGCCCTGCACCCTGAGTCTCTGGAGTACTGTATCATTGAGATTAATGCTAGACTGTCCCGTAGTTCTGCTCTGGCCTCTAAAGCCACAGGGTGAGTAGATAAAATCTGTAAAAAAAAGTTAGTTGTTTACAATGTTATCAATAGTTAGTTGTTTACAATGTTATCAATAGATTAGAAAGAAGAACCATAAGAACTTTAGTATGAAGGCTGTAAATAGGACAAGTAATATTGAGAAGAAGTAAGCCAAATGAATTTTGCATTCAGCTTTTCCTTGGCAAATTTTCAGATTGATTTACTTACGTTTAATATAACAGTTACTTCCCTGTTTAGTAAATGTACTTTTGATAGAACCAAGAGTTTTTAAGTCCTATTATTTTATTGAACAGATTTTGATTGACAAATTTTATATTCAGCTATCCCCTGGCATTCATTGCGGCAAAGTTGGCATTGGGGATAGACCTTCCCAGCATTCAAAATGCCACCACAGAGCAGACGACAGCCTGCTTTGAGCCCAGTTTGGACTACATTGTCACCAAGATTCCACGCTGGGATCTGGATAGATTCCACCAGACATCCAAAGAAATTGGCAGCTCCATGAAAAGTGTTGGAGAGGTGTGTGGTACTTTCTTGATTCCAAACACATGCAAAAATTATATATTTTATTTATGTTTTGTTTTATCATGCATTTCTTTACAATATATGTGTATTATATGTTCAGATTTCACTTAAATAGATTTAAATCAGTACTTAATTTTTAATATCTAAGAAAATCTCCTTAAATATTCATATAATATAATGTATTCAAATATTTCAATTATAATCTCATGTAGGTGATGGCAATTGGACGTACATTTGAGGAGAGTCTTCAGAAAGCACTGAGGATGACTCACCCCACTGTACCTGGCTTGACACCAGCACTTCCTGCGGGAAAGAGCTACGCCCCTGATATGGACTTGGAAGCCCTGCTGAAAGTTCCTCATAATTCTCGGATACACTGCATTACTAAGGTATATATATA